AGATGTCTCTTATTTAGTTGCTTGCTGTTACCATTCCACATATTTCAGTAAATATATATATATATATATATATATACATATTATATATTATATATGCATAATATTATTAATTTCAGTACAAATTACAGCGACGAAGGTTTGATATTATTATGTAAATATATGGTTGTGAAATACGTGCTTGTGCAAATATATCAACCTGTGTAACTACAACGCTTTAGTCATATAAATCTATTAGAGTCACAATTAAACAAATAAACATATTTACGCAATCATGTACAAATAACTTTTATTTGATTTTAAGTACTTCAATAAAGCTTTGTTCAACTCTTATTTATTGCTGTAGTCTATTCTTGACATACAAAAATTTTATATATCACGGTCTGAATTCTTAACAAATCGAGTTAATTTTATTTTCATACTTATTTCCACTTTAGTTTCTAAAATAATAAGCCAAAATAGTTTCTAAGGGAGCAAGCAGTTCTCACTGTATGTATATAATCAGCTAAGACAATCTTATAAAACCTCAAAGTTTTTATTGAGAAAATAAAACAACAAAAACAGTTTTTGAATCGATATGCACCCTTTATTGGTCACAGTAATCCTATTACATGTGAATACCTTAAATGTCAACTTCAAATAAATAGATTCAAAATAGTCTCATAATATTAAACAAATAAGATTTATTCTTGCTTAAATGTTATCTAATTAGCTTTTTTTTAAACCTCTTATAACATACCGGATAAAATATGAAAAAGTTTGAAATATTTCGTTACAAAATTATATTGTGCATACACAATTATACAAGTACATTGTATTACAAAATTATATTGTGCTTACACAATTATACAAGTACATTGTATATTATACAAGTACAGGAAAAATTCAAACTCTTGCTTTGAAGTAATATTTAGCAAGACGGAGCACTATAGTAAGTGAATTTTCGAGTTTCATATTTATTGGAAAAAATCTAAATCTATTTTTATGCAAGTTTGTAAACTTTTGCATTGATTTACATGCTTCATTTTTCTCAAAAAATGCTATTTAAATAGCCAATGATCACTGATTTATAACCATGAGAATCAAATTTGCCAACATATGAAATTATGCGACTTCTCTCTATGACGACTATATTCGTCAATCACATCTAACTCGTAAAGCAGTCCATTTTTATTATCAACAGAATAACCACTCCGAGTTTATAGAGAAAAAAAGTTATTGAAAGTTGATTTGAGAATGGGCTGCTTCAACGCACATGTGGATATACGTAGTAAACATCTTAGAGACAAAATATAGTCCAGTCATTCAAGCTTAATTTAGGTAATTATCTCGGAATTCGAGATACTCAGCTTTAAGTCTGTAAATACTTGTATATTGACGCCCTAAAGTTGTCTCAAAATCTACATACGGTAGGGTCTCAATACCATACGCAGGTTTTGAGACAACTTTTAAATGTCAATATACAAGTATTTACAGACTTAAACCTGGGTATCTCGAAATCTGAGGTGAACTTACTATAATGATTGGACTATTATTTATATTAGCTCTTAGTTTATATTAAGTAGAATGAATTAAAATAAAATGTAATCTGATATATTATTGACAAAATATAAGTATGTACTTAATAAAATAAACTAATATAAATAAAAACAAAGACTAAGGTCCTATGTCTAAATATCTAGAACCTACTATGAGTAATACTAACTAAAATCTCCACTGATCTCTCGCCTCTTGGTTCTACGGAAACCGACATTAGACATTACTTCATAGGGGGAAGATTAACAATTACATACTTTTCTATTTTATTATTATTCTATTATTACTCATTCCCTTAATTGCTCTCAATTTGCTGTATATATATATATATAAATATATATATATATATATATATATATATATATACGAGTTTTGATATGTCCTTGAGCACTCTCAGCGATTTTCTTCAATCGAGGAAAACCGCCGTCCTTTCATGGGTCTCTTCAACTTTGGGAATAGGAAAAAGTCACACGGAGCCATATCTGGTGAATTTTTGCACTTTGCAACACTTTATTTCATTTTTTACGCAAAATTTAATACAAATTCTTTGACTTTTCAATTCTTCCATTGTAAAAATCTCCGAGCTCAGAAAAACACGTCGAACCTTAGCGACTACCACAGACAAAGTAAACAGTGAATATAGCTGAAAATTTCATCATACTTTAGGGGCATGTATACCAACACAATAAAAAAAAATTTTGACAATCAGACACTCCAGACCCGCGAAATTTAATTATTAGTAATTCCGGGTACTTTTTGAACACACACTCGTATACAATATATATATACCGGGCATGTGATGATTTCCTCAATCCTTTCTACGAGAGTAGTTTGACGATCGCAGCTCAAAAGTCATATATTATAATACTGAATGTAAGGCAATTTGTTATACACATAACCAATCGTTGATAAAAGTTATTGGGGCGGAATATAAGTGCGCAATATCTTCTCGCAGTTGATCGATTGCATACATTTTATAGGAGCGCTTTCCATCGACTACCTGATTTGATTTGTGCATAGCGCAGGTATTATAGATAGAGGACGAAGCCACCTATGTGTGTCGCAGATATATATGTATATATATAAATATATATATGTGTGTGTGTGTGTGTGCAATCGCCCACTAGCACGTAACTATTGCAAAATCGACATACGAATTTACGGTTATTACTGTAATAGACATATCTAGATTGACATACATTATATTTTTAACCTTCAATAAACTCCTAACTAAGTTGCTGCACCAGTTTTAAGATAATTTTGTAATTGTAGGATAGGTTTAGAATAAACTTGTTTTAATTCAAAAAATTTCCAGTTTCATGGATTTTATGGCTGACTAACTTTGTTTAAAATATTTTTTCTATTTTTGAACATATATAAGTTGTTGTCATAATTTGTCTTCATACTTTAATTGATTTGGTTCTACAGATGGCAACCCAAACACTTGTCCTTTTTCTCTGTTATGAAATATTATTACAATTTTTTTAATAGTGCGATTATTTTATTGATGCAGCAATGCCGGATTAGGGCTATTTTTATTTGGAAACGTTTTGTTATCTATATTTCCAAGTGAACCCGTTGTCACTACTGCTTGATAGCAGACTGCTCGAAGGATCGAACCCTAGACCGTGATATAGGCCCAGTCGTTCTAGCCACTTTCTACGAGCAAGCCCTTGTTTAAAAGATTATTTATATTTATATATTTTATTCATATTCATTATATTTAGACAATAGTTTGTATCATAGACAGCATTTCTGATACAAAAACTTTCAGTTTTCAAAAAGATATTGTTATATACGAAGATACCCAACATATTAATGAGACTCTAAATACCATGACTGTCTAGAAGTTCAAGTTTTATAAAATGTATAGTTGTTTCTTGAAGAAAATTTATTTATATTTAAAATTTATTCAGTAGCATTTTATAATGCATATTGAATTAATACTTGTTGGTTTTGAAGACTTTAGTAGTGATGTTTTAATATAAATATTAGTCAATGCAATATTTGACACTTAAACTTGTAAACTTAACTTCTAATATGATAAGTTATAATTTCGACTTTATTAATAGTCTACATTTTAAAAATGCTCCATTTCTCTTATACAACATGTGCAAACTATTTATTTTTGTGTTTGAAATTTAAAATTTAAAAAAATTAATTTTCAATTTCGATTTAAGGATTCGTGAACATTTGAAAGTTGGCAGATCTAAGATACATTTGGTTGGTGCTATTCGTCGCCACAGATGTTTTTTTAAGTTTGTGTGACTTATTTTTATAAAATTATACTAATTATAGTTTCAAATTGATAGTTTCATTTGATTGAAATCATAAAGATTTGATAAAATAGTATTTGTTCAATTGAACAATAAGTTTGTGAAAAAAAATTAAAATCTGTTTTAAATGCGAAACATATATAGTCAGTCTCATATGAGATTATACCATGCACCACACATTGAAGTTGAAATTTAATCTTTTATTTGATCTCATGTCTTATTAATCACCGGTTTACATCAACTAATACCTTGACCGGCCTTAATAACCGGCAACTTCGACGGATCGAACCTAAATTATAAATGCAATTTCGTCCCTGACCTGCGGTGAATACATATTGCTCTTTGTTTCTCGTGGGCTTCACATATTTGCACTACATTTTATAAAAAAAATGAAGTATGGAGAAATTGTTCAAAAAATATTCCTAAAATAATTTTGAAACACAATTTGTTGTATCAGCTATCAAAACAAAATGCAATCAGAAAGATCATATCATACAGACTTTGATACCACATGATAAAAGCCATGTATTTTACACTACAGCAGACAAATGGCATTAAAATTATTTTGATGATTTTTTTCAATTTCAATACTTCTCAACAGCTGTAACTATTCATCTTATACTTGCTGTCTTTATTTTTTATACTGTTTGCAATGATGTCTTCAACCAGTTATTGTTTAAACAATTATATGATCTGCTTCTGTGAATGTTTTTAAACAAATTTCAGCATATATTTATACGATTATACTGATTATATTATATCCGGATACTAAATCAGACTCATTACAGTAAAAATTAATACTAACACTAATCTAAAAGGACACTTTGTCTAAACCAATCAATTGTCTAAACCAACTATACCAATTTTATTGTTCTCCTGTGTTAGATAGTTGGTAATATATGCAGTATCAACAACAGTAAGAAACTCTCAAATTTTTAAAATTTCTAATCTAAACGGTGAGAATTAAAAGCAGTAACATACATAAAATGAAATTAAATTATAAAAATAATTGTAAAACTTAAATCAGGATTGACAGTTTAAGGGCACGTTGTTCAACTTTGCCAATTTCATTGATCTTTTCTCTTGTTCTCCTCTGTTAGTAGTATTCCTTTCAGAATAATGATCGAATAAATAATTTTAATATATTTTATTTTACTTTTTCAGCTTTTCCCCATGAGCGCATTACGCACCTGGAAGTGACTAATAACAACTTGCTGCTGCTCGAATCGGACGCACTCGCCGCGCTGCCTTTGCAGCTGCTAAAGCTCAGCGGCAACAGCATACGGCGAATCGACCAGAAAGCTTTCAGGTACATACCAATGTTATGTTTTGCTCTTAACTCGGTTATAAAAACGACGCCGGCTTTTAAAAACTACGATTTCAGACCACATTCGGTGTGAACAGAGAGCTAGTGAATTTTTAGATTTTTGTTTTTATGCGAATTTATGAAAAATCGGCTCGTTCGTTGAATGAAAATATTGTTCAAAGCCTACGGGAACGATTTAAATGCTATCTTGGGTTGGTAAATTCACTTCTGTTGATTGTGAAGAGTATATTTATTTTATTATAATTATAATTGAATAATGACTCGGTAAAACATACTACGTGGAAAATTAAGATGTTTTTTGTGATTTTTTCACAGGATTTGTTTATCTGCTTTGGCAATTTTATCGTTGTTTTCTTCTGACAAATTTTATTATGTTTACAAGGACAGTTAAATTTATTGATATTTTATGAAATTTGCATTAATATTTTGTGAAGACCCTTCTTTTTTCATTCATTTATATTGTGTAAAAACATATAAAATCAGGTGTCCGACTAATATTCGAATACGTATTCTCAAGTTACAATACATTATTTATAGATAGATACATATTCATTTTTTTCGGCTTAAAATGTTTCTAATGAAATGCAAAGAGATTCAACCAATACTTATTATTGTTTGTAACATTTGAATAAAAATTACTAAGTTTTCAACTTACCAGTGGAAGTAAATCCTCCTCGAAAATATATATTCTAGATTTTACTAGCCATATTTTCGTGATATTATAGTATATTTTATTTTTGTAATCTTGCTATATATACTTAATACGATTTTTATTAAAAAAATATTATATCAAGTGAAACGATAGATGTCTCTTAAGAACTGTTTTTGGGTGAAACCTCCGATGTTATTCTTGTTATAAAATGTTTTATTTTACAAACTGAACAAATGGACAATTTGTTCGTAAACAGGGCAAGTGATGGTATGCTTGAGTAAAGTTCCGTATTGTAAATGTTTTTCGAAATAAAATTTTGTTGTTATTTTCATTTACAAATGCAGTAGCTATATGGATCCATTAAACCTACCTGCTTACGAAACAGCTTTTTTAAGATCGATTATCATGTTTTATTACTCTCGAGAACATTAAAGCTCTTGCGCGAGGCGAATTATGTGACATTAAGTGACCTCATTTCAGGAAGTTGTTTTAGTATAATTACGACCAAACCTATTATAGTAAAATGCCAATATTTTGTACAGCAATTTATTGCCGCATAGGAATTTAAAACTAAAACTATATGGTTTATAAAAAATCCGGTGGTTTTATACTTTTTTGCTCTATAACGTTTGATAGTGGAATGTACATATAAGCTGGTTTATTCTGTTTATATATCATGTTGTCTCGGTTTTATTTTACTTATCAAATATACTAGAATTTACTAAATACATTATTATTTTATTATTATTTCGAATAGTGCGTTAGGCGTAATTTATATTTTTATAATAATTATTTAAGAACTGTTAAGTTTATGAACTAAAGTGAATTATCTGAAAGCTGTTTTGAATTTACATGACATATAAAACATATAGTGTAACTTATCACTTTTACAAATTACTTTGCAATAATCGAATAAATGAATTTGTTAACTTCTAATCTTAGTTTGTAGCACTTAATGAAGTATTTGATTTCTAGAAACAATGCAAATATCAATATATATATATATATAAATATATATATATATTTCAAAACACTAAATTGAAATAATTTTCTTTGTATCGATAATTACACATTAGAACCAAAATACGGTGGAGCGATCGTGTACATTTGCACTACCTTCTTCGAAGAGCATTTATTTTTTCTTTTGTGATAAAGTTTCTAATAAGTAATATCCTATAGCATAAATTAATTTTGAAAATGCTTATTTAGTATGAAATTACTTTTTAATTAAAAGTTTTTAAAAAAATATTGTTACCGTAAAATTCTAGTATCGCGCAAACATATGCAAAGATAATTTCTCACTACAAACTTTTTACAGTTACCATAAGCTATAATTGTAGATGTCAGTAGAATTATGGGTGGAACGAATATTTATTTTATAGGTTTAAATACGCTAGTGAACATATTTTCTAAGCAAAACGGCTTACAATTATAATGTCACAATGCTGACACTACTGAATGTAAAGTACCTTTGCAGACTATATATACATATATATATATATATATATATATATATATATATATGTGTGTGTGTGTGTGTTTATAATTATTGTAAAAGACTAGTGTATAGTGGATTTTATTGCACTACGATTTGCGCGGTTATATTTTACATATAAACCATAATTTGATAAATACATTAATAATATTAAAAGAATGGTTTTACCTTTGGAATATCCATTATTTCCATCACACTATTTTCTTTTATTTATTCTATTTGATATATTGTATGTGCTTTCACATCTATATTTCAAACTATATATCATCTATAACTGAAACCATATTCTATTAAACTAAGTGGTTTTTTCTAAAAGAAAAACATAAACTTCTCTATATATGCAAATAGTAGAATATCACTTGTTGATGTAATATTTTAAATCCATATATTATATGCTTTTTGTTTTAATAACACAATCATGATGAGATAAACTTTAATCTCGTCTGCAATTTTTATATAGTGTTAATGTGTTTATATTAAAAAAATATTTATAATTATATATGTGCACATATGTATAATCCCACACTTTTCCAAATCCATAATTTCTAGATCCATTACTCACGAAGTTACTAATTATAATGTCTTTCTCTCAAAATATGAAAGGTTTGCTCTGATGCTTGTACGCTGTGATTGCTTGATTTGCCTGATGCTAATCTTCGTGTTGATTGAATATTCAAGTAGTATGTTTCTGTATACAAGTTTCATATATAATTCCACTCTTGCCATTTGGCAGATGGTTTAAAGCGAATTTAATGTAGAATTTAGAATGTAGTAGAATGTTTGCTTCTACGTTACTTGCTATTACTCAATATTTATTGTATTAAATAATTCAATTCAATTAATCAAATATTGTAATAAATATTAAATAATTTAAAAGATTCAAAAAATGATATAAAAGATTTGCACATATTTTTTTTTAATAATATTGATTACGTATGGCAATAAACTTAGTTACATCAGTTTGAAAGCAAAAAATGATAAGTTGAATTTTATATAAATATTTTATGAAACTTTAAAACGGAACACAAGTATGAAGTCATAAATTTCTGCTTCCAATTTTATTAGAATTTTTGGAATTACTACTACATTAAGGAAATATATAGTTTATATTATGTTCTTATAAATCTGGGTAAGGCTGCAAGTTGGCCTGTTCGTTATTTAAAATTCAATAAAATATAACTAATATTTCCAATATTACTTTATTTTATATCTTGGCTAAAACGGTTGTGTCGAAATATATTTAAAGTGCAAAAAAATATTTCTAATTAACGATTATAACTAATAAATTAAGCGAATCAATTATTATCAAAAAGTAATCAAACAACTTTGGATAATTATTGCTGATACAAAGTTTTATTGAAGTCGTCAATATATGTATTTGTTCAAAAATTATTTATAAAGAAACTGTCGAGCCGATTTATGTCAAAAGTTAATAAGCATTATTTCCAACTCATATCTTTCGAGCAGTTTTTGAATTTTCAAAATCGGTTAAATAATTAAAGCAAAAACACAAACTTTTGCCCTTCTGAAACTTGTAAAGAAATTCTCGGCCAATTGACATGCAAAACTTATCAGATCTTATTGAGTTACTTTGAATGACTTTCAAATTTCTGAAAAATTTGAGAAATGGCCAATTTTTGTTTAAAAAGATTTAGAATAATTTGAAACGTCGTATATAACATTAGCAAATTGGATTTTTTGGCAAAATCAGAAACTTTTCTTTATGTAAGTTGATAATTAATATTGACTAATGTTACTAAATCAGTATTAATTCTACTGATTTAGTAACTTTAATATTAAAATATATTTTTCATCAGATAAACGGAACAGCTGAATAAAAAATAATCAAATATACAAGTTGACTAAATGATTGTAACTACTAAACTTCAATCAAATATTTATTGATATAAATGGAAAATATAATTTACCAAAAAAATTTATTTTCAAATGTTTTATTAAATTATATGACTTTATTATATAAACATCTTTCTGCATAATTGATTATTTTTTGAAGATTATTGTGAAGTGAAAAATAATCATGTTTTTGTTATTATTGCAAAATGATTAATATTACTAAAACTTATCTTCAAGAAAACGTGAAACAAAATTACTTATCTGTCTTTAAATTAATGATAATATTAAATGTCGAAATTGCTTTCTAGTAAAATAAATAGAACAGACAGATAACCAATAATCTAATAATATTAGTAATTTATTATAACTAATAGTTATCAAATTAACACTATCAAAGTATATTTTTTGACAGGTATACGCGAGTAATGACACAATTAGCAATTTAATAATATTAACGAGAGGCATTGCAAATTGATATCATTAACAAAGACTTATATAATTTATAAACATATTTTTTAAATTTAAAATATTAGAATCATTCTATAATTCAAATCTGGCACAATTATTTGGGGTATTATACGTTAAATGGGTACTTATTTTAAATTTTTAACATAGAACTATAATCTATTATACGTAATTTAATGACTGTTAGGAATCATAATTTTTTTCAATCAAACAAAAAGGCAAGTGTACAATATTACGAGAATAATGTTTCAAATTACTTTAAATAACAAATGACAGCAAAAGTTTTTTTAGAAACACTTTACAATTAGCCAATTACGAACAAATTAATATTTAATCTAGTAGTGATAACAGACTAAAAATTATTAGTAAAAACTTTTGATGTTACTTTTCATTGATGTCACTAATTTCAACCACTTATGTATTCATAAAACTAATTTTCATAGAAGCATTAGTACCCAAATTAAAAGTCATACCAATTCATACAAAAATAGTGATGTTGTTGTACAGGTGAATAAC